GTAATACTTTAAACGATAAAAAAAAAAAGAACATAGCAAAGCGAAAGTGGTAGGGATGTTTGCAGACAGAGTAAGAGTAAAGTTACATTGGGTGAAATTGGGTTGTTGAATAAAGCAGTTTTGACAGAAAGCTAGAGATGAGCCTAGAACAGCGGTTCTCAACCTGTGGGTCGCGACCCCTTTGGCGGTCGAACGACCCTTTCACAGGGGTCGCCTAAGACCATCCTGCATATCAGACATTTACATTACGATTCATAACAGTAGCAACATTACAGTTATGAAGTAGCAACGAAAATAATTTTATGGTTGGGTCACAACATGAGGAACTGTATTTAAAGGGCCAGAAGGTTGAGAACCACTGGCCTAGAAGGTATCAAAGAAACAGTCCTCGAGAGGTAGAAACAGTTGAGAGAGGTGCCTCGAGAGTGAAACAGGTTACAACCTATTTCATCCCTTTTCAGTGAATGGGTTTAGGATGGCTAATTGTTGTTCAAACTGATTTATGTCCCCTGAAATGTCTGAACAGGTACTGTAATAAAGCACTTTCACACTCTTAACTAGCTAAGGATCTGTGTTAAATAAGGGGGAAGAGAACTGCGGTTGAAACAGCTATGTTCCCAGAGCCAGAGCCTATGGTTTCATTGTTAAGCACGGTGACTTAGAATTATGTTGTTTCAATTACATATCAAAGACTTGCTGACTAGGGGCGACTATGTGTAACTTCTCTAATCTTCACCTTCATTTTCTGTAAATTGGGATTGTTTCACAGCCCAGGACACCTAAATGGTAGCTGGTACTGTTACTCAACTACTGTATATTGTTCCTGGTGTGGTCCTTAGACAGAATCACTGCATCACCTCCTTCCTTGAGTGGAGGCTCATAGAATTACCCAATAGTGCAGCGTCAGGAAGTCTTTCATTTGAAGCTGCCCTGGGCCCATTTCATCAAGCTCCTTTCGAGACATGCTGCCCAGTGTGTGAGTGTGTGTGTGTGTGTGTGTGTGTGTGTGTGTGTTTTAAGCCTCACCCAAGGATGTTTTTATTGATGTTAGAGAGGAAGAGAGAGAGAGAGAGAGAGAGAGAGAGAGAGAGAGAGAGAGAGAGACATGGATCGGTTGTCTCCTGTATGCCCCGACTGAGATCCAACCTGCAACCTTTTTGGTGAACGACAATCCAACTGGCTGAGCTACCTGGCTAAGGCCCCACTTTTTCTTTCTTTCTTTCTTTCTTTCTTTCTTTCTTTCTTTCTTTCTTTCTTTCTTTCTTTCAAGCTGCTTATTTGGAAATACTGTAACCTTATTAAAGTTTGGGGAGAAATTACAGATTCTACAAAAGGTTACAAAAACTTACAACCTTTTACCGATTTACCTGTGGTTAACATTTTACCACATTTGCAGTCTTATTTATTCTCTGTCTCTGTCTTCACATACATTGCTCTTTTTTTGAAAATTTGAGGGTAAGTTGTATACGTCATAGTCCCTTATTGCTAAACATTACAGTGTATGTTTTCTAAGAATAGGGATTTTGTCTTATAAAATAACTACAGTTATCAACTTTAGATAAATGTTAATCTACCATCCATATTCCAAATAGTTAGGCTGATCTAATGTCATTCATAGTGGATTTTCCCCCCCTCCAGTGTAGTATTCAGTCTAGAGCAGGGGTGGGCAAACTTTTTGACTCGAGGGCCACAATGGGTTCTTAAACTGGACCGGAGGGCCGGAACAAAAGCATGGATGGAGTGTTTGTGTGAACTAATATAAATTCAAAGTAAACATCATTACATAAAAGGGTACGGTCTTTTTTTTTCTTAGTTTTATTCATTTCAAACGGGCCGCATCCGGCCCGCGGGCCGTAGTTTGCCCACGGCTGGTCTAGAGGCAGATAGTTGTCAGGTATCTATAGTTTTCCTTATTCTGGAACATTTCCAAAATCTTTCTTTGATTTTTATGACCTTGACATTTTGAAGAATATAGCCTTCCTCTTTTTTTTTTATAGGATGCCCCTTATTTTGAGGAACAAAGGTCCCTTATATTTCTTCATGATTAGATTAAGTTTCTACAATTTTAGGAGATGTTGTGTTCTGACGATATCGCATTTGGGGGCACACTGTGTCCATCTGGGCCTCAGTGGTGATGCTAATTTGATCACCCAGTCGAGGTGACTTCACTGTATAATTTCTGTTCTATTTTATCTTTGTAACCAATGAGCAGTCAGTGAAAAGGTATTTGGAGACCATGTTAGTATCCTGCTGCAAACCCACTGTTGACTCAAGTAACATAGAGGCCCACCTCTGTACTTGATTTTAGGAGTTACCAGGAATACCCAAAACCTCTAGAAAAAAATTATCTCCACTCCATCTCTGATTTACATTGTTTGTATTAATTTACATTGTTTTTGGTTGAATGAGGATTCGTTTGGTATAAGAAATTGTTGTTAATTTTCTTCCCTTTCTAGGGCAATTCTGTGTTTGTGACAGACATATCTCCATGATTTTAAAAACGGGAAGGTGTATTAGCTGGCTCTGATGGAAAATGGAAGTCACAAAGAGGAGGGAAAAAAAAAGAAATTAGTGGATTAGCTAGTGCTAATGATTGTGCAGAACTTAAATGTGATCTTCATTCATGAGTTGGCTATTTTTATATTCTCTCTTCCATCTCATTCAGGAATAAAGCAATATCTTTAGCATAATTTTGAATGAATTAGTATTTGTTAAGTACTTGTGCTGGATTCAGCCTTGTTTTTGTTGTCAAGGACTTCTATATGAAGGATATGAAGTTGTCCTCACTTGAAGGCATGTTAAAAATTGTGGAGGGAAAACAAATTGTGGAGGAAAGAAGCCTTGTATATTGACACAATTTAGAGAAGACTATGAGATGATTTGTAATCTTCAGTGTTCTAGGTGGTCTGGGAGATGGGGGAAGAGATAGAGTTTAAGGAGAAGGAAGTAACCTAGATCTGGGGAGCAGTTGAGTTTGAATTTGGTCCCAGGAGGCTGTGCTGAAAGAGGCAGCATAGCCATGGTGGATTCAGGACAATGAGGAGTGGGTGGTGCCAGTTAGATAGGTGAGGCTAAGATTATGAAGTGGTTTATAATTGGCAGCACATCATATCTCACCATGAATATACTTTAGAAAATTGTCCATATCTTGTTTGGATAGCATTGACATCCATTCAGAAAGAATTGCAAATAACATTCTTATATACAGAAATAATATTGAATTGGGGGGTGGAACAATAGGAAAAATTAGAGGAAGGAGTTGCTTATGGAGAGAATCAAACCCGAAGTTACTTTGAGCAATTCTAATAAATCCACTTAATTGGGTAGGGAAATTAATGATGATTTATTCTAAAAATATGTTTTATTCTTGTATTTGTCAAAGTTGGGAATATTTTTTAATAGCACTCCTCAACAAAGGACTAGGAAAAGATATCTTAAATGTATACTAATTTGGTGTAGTCTCTATGAAGATATTGATATTAGCCATCACCAAATTTTTTATTGAGGTGCATCAATGGGGTTTTTGATTACCATATAAAGAAGGTAGATCTGAGTAAAGTAAGCTTTTGTTGTGAAAGCAAACTGATGTTGAATTGACAGCATAAGAGTTTCCCAGGTAATTTGGGATCCAGGCAGTATGAAAAGCTCCCAATGAGATTCTGTGTATTTGGGAACTACTGCCTTGAACCATTTTTAAAAACCTGTAGTTAAGATGGGGGTGGAAGCCTCCAGGTGGCTGACCTTCACAGGTGGTTTGGGCTGGTGTCTTTGCTCTGGCAAATTCTTTTGCATATTTTATGTGATACCTTAGATGTATTTTTCTGTGAATATAGCTGCATGTTTTTAGAAAATGTAAGTAAAATCTACTTAGCTACTTAACACACGAATTAATTAATTCAGTATATAATCATTGAGTGCCTATGTGCCAGGGATATGATGGAAGTAAGAGAGACATAGTTCTTGCCTCCATAATTTTATAGTCTAATGAAACATACCATGCATTTTTGTTTTTCTTTAAGGTGCAAAATAATCTAACATCACAGAGTAATGGGAGCGAGTATTCTCCAAATAAGGTAAGTTTCTTGAAGATTAATAAAATCTGATGTATTCTTTGAAGCCTGAATTGGAATACCTTTTATAGAAATATATAGTCTAAGACTGTCATGATTAATGAATTAATTGTATTGCAGATTCTATATGGGAATCTATCTCATTAGCTTTCAGAGCCTTAACTGGCCCTATCCATAAATAAAGATTAATTTTATAAGATATATTTTGAAAACTAACATGGGAACATCTTTATAGAAAAAAAAATGAAAATAGTTCAAATAGGCAACATATAGAATGTCTAGTTTTCCATCAGTGATTCGGTGAGTGGTTTGCCTGTAGATAGGGATGGGGAACATCTGGCCCAAGGGCCATATAAGGACAGCCCAGGAAATCATTTGGTTTTGCCCTGCCAAGGCAACCACAGACAGGGCTCAAAATTCAATAAATCTTGGAACTTTTTTTATAACAACATAAATTTATATTAAGTGAATTACATTAGCGAATACTGTTATAAATATCCCAATGGCTCTTGGTGGAATAAAGATTCCCCACCGCTGCTGTAGATGAGAGGTGTGTTCAGTGTTATGAGTCTTTATCAGATGTGCTCTCTGTGAGGTGGATGTGAGTGTGTGCCTGTGTGTGTGCATGCATGCCCGTGAACACATCCATTCTGGGGCAGAAAAGGATTGCCAGTTTCACATGGTTGTAAAATCTCTATATATAAAGCCCTAAGCGACTGGTCAACTGTTGACCGGTCGCTATGACATACACTGACCACCAGGGGCAGACGCTCAATGCAGGAGCTGTCCCCTAGTGGTCAGTGTGCTCCCACAGTGGGAGCACTGCTCAGCTGATGGGCTCCAGACTCCGGGCTCACAGCTGGTGAGCACAGCTGCAGTGGTGTGAGCCTCTCCCACCTCCGCAGCAGTGCTACCAGCGGTAGGTAAGGCAGGGCCAGGATGAGCAAGAGTAGTAGCGCTTGCCTCTTAGCACACTACTACATCCCTCAGGGGATGTTGGACTGCCGGTTTCAACTAGCCTGTGGGGATCGGGCTGAAACCACCAGTCCGACATCCCCTGAGGGGTCCTGGATTGTGAGAGGGTGCAGGCCAGGCTAAGGGACCCCACCAGTGCATGAATCTGTGCACCAGGCCTCTAGTATTTTTATAATGATCAAATAAAAAATTGAATGGTTCTCCCCCAAAATAACCTTCTGTTGATTATGCCACTCAAAGCATTTGCATTGATTTTCATATTATTTAGTCAGGACTTCACACAGCAGCAAATTCAAAAGGTTGTGGTTTTATTAAAATCCTTGAGCATAGAGAAACATGCATAGTTCTACTTCAGTTTTTTACAAAATTTCCTTTCCTTGTAACAACACAGATTAGAGAAAACTCCCCTGCAATCTCTCCTACCACCAGCAGTACAGCTCCGTTTGGCCTGAAGCCTCGATCAGGTAAACTAAAGCCTCAACGTTCTTAAACTTGTAAACAACTCAGTGGTTTCTCTTTAGCCTCTAAATGTACACAGCCTTGTCAGCTCTGGTGAGTTTCAGTCCTGGTGTCAGAACCTGGCTACAGCTTGGGAAGGCCAGATTTGGAACCTTGTTTTCAGTGATTCAGTTATTAATAGTAATAGAGATCTATTACTGATATCAGCAAAGAGGAAAAAGGTGATGGGACATATAAGTGGGAAAGAAATATTCTATTGAGTTTTTTTAAAAAAATATTTGTATTGATTTTAGGGAGGAAAATCATTGATCGGCTGCCTCCTGCATGCCCCCCCCCCCACACACACACTGGGGATCAAGCCCACAAACTGGGCATGTGCCCTGACCAGGAATCAAACCATGACTTCCTGGTTCATAGGTCGACGCTCAAGCACCAAGCCACACCAGCTGGGCTTGATTGAGTTTTTTTAACCCAGGGAAGATAAAATAGCTAGCTCTTTGCCCCAGTGGTTCCTGATAAGTTAAAGAAAGGTTTCTTTGAGGGTGACTTCCTTTCTGAGACATCCCTCATTGGTATTCTGAGCCTTGGTGTAGGGCAGTGATGGCGAACCTATGACACGCGTGTCAGAGGTGACACGCGAACTCATTTTTTTGGTTGATTTTTCTTTGTTAAATGGCATTTAAATATATAAAATAAATATCAAAAATATAAGTCTTTGTTTTACTATGGTTGCAAATATCAAAAAATTTGTATATGTGACACGGCACCAGAGTTAAGTTAGGGTTTTTCAAAATGCTGACATGCTGAGCTCAAAAGGTTCGCCATCACTGGTATAGGGTCTGTGTATTTACTTGTATAACAGAGTGATAGATCATTTCAAGGCTCATATAACTGGCCAGGAGTCTTTTTTAAAGAGCCTTTTCGCTTATATTACCTACTTACTTCTAATTTCTTATTAGTGTATTCACAAATGTAAATTATAGCAATGTGCAGACTGAATGTTGATTTTAAAAAGAAGGATTATGTATAGAAAAATTTGGTTCTTCTGATTTCTCCACGTATTTAAAATTCTGGCACTTTCTACCTTCTTTTAGGTCCCTCTTTGTTTTCATATTTTTGATTCTTAGGTCTTTTGCATATGCTCACTACTAATGCTTTTAACTAAGTACTAGAAAATAACTCAGGCACTTTTAAGCAAAAGCTAGTAAAAAACTCAAATATCATTGGATTTTTCAGTAAAGCATTTTGGCAACAATTGAAGTTACACATGTGTATATTTTGAAAAAGGCTACCCATAAAGAAAACAAAGATAATTCTTTTATAAAGGATTTTGTTTTGGAAGCAAGTTGATTGATGGTCACCCTGTGTCCAGGTGTAATGGTTTCCCTGGCATTTTGAATGGGCTGTAAGACAAAGTTATTTGAGAAAATGCTTGGGTGTGGTAAAGGTTGTTAGTAGGCATTTTATAGAAAAGTGTTTTATTTTTAATTACAAAATAAGTTCAAATGAATAGCCTCCTCATTTTTGGAACTGAGATCTGGGCCACCATCCATTTTCATGGTCTCAGTGTGTGCTAAGAGGAATGGCAGTCACTCAGGGTATATGTCATCCGTGCCTTGAGTGATCGCCACACACTGAGGACCTCATATTAGGCTACAGACTTTCCCCTAATCCTTACAAAGCAGTTTTATACAATCATAAAATAAATATTTTCTAATTGATTAAATCAAAGTTGAATAGATCTTTAAAAAATAATATTCTTTTGAATATTGCAATTTAGTTGTAAAATTGTCTCAGTGACTTTTTTATTTCCTTGTACGGAATCAAAACTCAGGTTATCAACATTGTACTTTACTGTTAGACCATTTCAAATTCTTTGTAGTCGTGAAAAATAAAAGGGGTATTTATTCTGAATAGCAGAAAACAAAGAAAATGTCCTCTCCAATTTCAACCCTTCTATAATGCTGACTAACTAATGTGGAAATTGTTCTAGTTGTTGAAAGCTCGGTGGAGTTTGGTTGCTGTAAATAAAGCTGATTTATCTTCAGAACATCAAGTGGATTTTGGAACTTTATAAAACTAGAATTATGTATTGGGATTTTTTCATTTTATTTAATAATATTAAAATATTACAGTATGTACTTTTCATATTTTCTAGAAAATAATATATACAGTAATCTTAATTGAACATGATATAATTTAAAAAGATAGAAATATTTTTTTTGATTGAGTATCTTTGGGACTTTTAAAAGCTAAATGATTTTTATCTTAAAGTTCAATATATGGATTTCTGTGATTTCTGTGTTATAAATAAAAACAGACTGATCAAATCAGCAAGTTGGAGTAAGAACTTATATTTTTAAAGTAGATTAGTAGTTTACTTCAAAGAACATTTTTCTATCTCCTGTGTTTTCCTCCAAAGAAAGACAGCCACATATAACTAAATATTTATTCCTAGAACCGTGTCCACTTATTTTACTGGCCCTGCCTTATAATTGCATAACATTTTCTAGTTATAGTTCATTTAACTATTTCATAAACATATAATTACTATATGCATATTTAGTGCAAAGAAAGATGTTATCATTTCAAAAATAACCAACTCAGAATGCTTGAAGTTGAATGACATTTATTGGTTAATGAGATTTGTTGTTAAAGAGACTCTACCAGTACCCAGAATTGTTTTTATATGAACAAATATTGAAGACAGTATTTAGATGTGTGTATGTCAAGTGTTGAACAAAGAGTTGGCTAGATTCATTTATCAATAAAGCATGCCAGTAGACTTATATGTCTTTAAAGAGAAATTTTATATTGCCTTGTGAAAAATTTCACAATAATAAACACTGATTCTATAATAGTTTTATTGTTAAATAATAGATACAGCTACCTATATTTTGTACTATGTAACCAAATTTTTTGTGTGAATCATATTTGCTAAGATTGTTAGTTATTTAGAAGGTCTCTGAAAAGGATCTTTTGCTTTTTATCTATAATCTGTGGATACTCTTTTTTTCTGTTGACATGATTCATTAGTACTCGAAGTCTGTGGGCTTGTGGAACTGTTAAGATTAATGATATTAACTGCATGTGGAGTATATGATTGATAAGTACTAACACTCAGTTTTTATCATTCTTTTTATTCCATACACCATCTTTCATTATTTTCCTATATTGTACATTTGAAATTAAATCCCATAATATGAAATTCACTTCATTTCCATATAATCCTTGTGCCATTTGTGGAATGCTGCTGCCCCTTTGGTTTTTCCTGGTCCTTGTGCAACTATACGTGGACTGGCTCTCTCGCTCTCCTGCAGACCCAGCCCTCACTCTTCCTCCTATCTCCTTCAACACACTTACACAGGCACAAACATGGGACAACTCTAGCTACAGTGTTCCATCTGAAGGAGACAGTGACAATGGTAGGTGGCTTTGTACCTTTTCTTCAATGTGCTTATTAATAAGCCAATTAATATATTGAGCACTAATTTCTGTGCAGCTAAAGATAGAACTATATTCACTTGCATGCCCGATGAAAGAGATATTGAGTAAACCTGGAAAGGGAAGTCCAGAAAAGTGCATGTGTATTGTTCTCCAGCAGTTTGTCAAACGTCTTTTAATTATTTTGAATATTCTGAATTTGGATAGAGCTTTACAATAATTTCTTCTCTATTTTTCTGCTCGAGTTTTTTGGCTTGTTTGCTTGTTTACAAAAATCTGGTGTTTGCACATTTGGATTATCTCTGCTTGCTCCCACATCTGAATGAAATGCTTTTAGACTTTGGTCTTTCATTGTCTGTGCTTACTATATGAGATTTTTTAAAATATATTTTTATTGATTTCAGTGAGCAAGGGAGCGGGGGAGAGAGATAGAAACATCAATGATGAAAGAGAATCATCCATTGGCTGCCTCCTGCACACCCCTCACTGAGGAGTGAGCCCGCAATCTGGGCACGTGCCCTGACTGGGAATCTAATTGTTACCTCCTGGTTCATAGGTTGATGCTCAGCCACTGAGCCAGCCAGGCCTGTATGAGATTTTTAAGGTAGTTACGATGTGCCATGGCTGATCCTAGGTTGGCATGCTGAAAATAAAGTTAACATTGAGAAATTTCTAAAAATGAAGAGAATTCACTTGTCTTCTCATTTTTTTGGTTTTTTTTTTTTTTTTGCAAATTACTTGCACATTTTTATTTTTAATACCTTCTACTTTTTTTAGTGTAAGTTTATCTATATAATATTTAAGAATGGTAACTTGGCCTGAGAATAAATGTACAAATGAAAATTGAGGCCATCTAGTTGATATATTTATGTCATTAAATATTTTAAATAGCTTAAAAGATGAAAATAAAATAAATATAATTTATTTAGAGTTACATACCACATAGTTGAGTCTCTATTAGTTCATATTTTAAACATTTTACTTCAAGATACATACATAGTGGTAAAAGTAATGTCAAATGAAATGGAGAGTATGATTTACAGGGAAGAGAAGTGAGATGTGAGATATCAACACAATGCAAGCACAATAGGAAGATATATTTCCCAATAATAGTTTTTTATTATTTCTTTTTTAATTTTTAAAAATTGATTTTAGGGAGAGGGGAAGGAAGAGAGAGAGAAACCTCGATATTTGCCTCCCATACATACCCTGACTGGGGAACGAACCCGCAACCTGGGTATGTGCCCTGACTGAGAATCGAACCCATGACCTTTTGGTGTATGGGATGATACTCCAACCAATTGAGCCACACCGGCCAGGGCAATAATACTTTTTAAAATCTAAGTGTGTTATATATGTAATACATAGAAAATATGTATTTAAAACATTTGCTGTGATTTCTGGTCAAAATTCAACTGTAAATGCTTTTCCAGTTGTCTTATTTGTAATGATATGTATATCTTGGCAGGTTAGTTATTAAAGGAATTTTATTATTTCACATATTTCTAAATTTTTTAACTGAAAATAAGTATGGTTGCACAACAAAACAAAACAAAAGTCCCTCATATTATTCTGTTTTAAATTCTGGAAGTTAAGGAGGGCTAAATGGAAACTTTCTTGAAAACTGTTCTTTTACTTAAAAACGAAAGGGGGCCCTGACTGGTTTGGCTCAGTGGATAGAGCGTCGGCCTACAGACTGAAAGGTCCCAGGTTCGATTCAGTCAAGGGCCATGTACCTTGGTTGCGAGCACATCCCCAGTAGGGGGTGTGCAGGAAGCAGCTGATCGATGTTTCTCTCTCATCGATGTTTCTAACTCTCTATCCCTCTCCCTTCCTCTCTGTAAAAAATCAATAAAATATATTTAAAAAAAAA